AAGTTAAGGTACGTACTATTCTATTTTTAATTTAATGATCATTAATAATTTCAATTTTTAAGGCCTATCGCAATTATGTTAATTCATGAATTTTAATTTTCTCAATTTAAATGACATTTCTATACTCCAATATAATTTATAAGTGAAATTGTTTCTCTTACTCTCTGGAACAAATTTCTGGATATCTCTGCTGTGGAAAAAACTAAATTCTAATTAGACGAGTTAAAAAACACTCCCGACCTATTCCACAGTTTCAGGGCTCTCCTTCGTCCAAAAAAACCTGGTCGGCGTCCTCTCCAAAAACCAATTCCCATTATTATCCGTTGCTAACAGCAACCAACGTTCTTTTTTTTTCTGTCTTCTATTTAAATATTTTAAACCATAAAACTGTCCTGTTTGACATATTTGTCAAGCCACATTACTTTCTCATAATCACTTTAATCACATATAATTTGGGAATTTACAAAAAAAATGTTTAGATATAAAACTTATTCTATTACAATACTAATTTATTCTTTTCATCTCCACATCATTGTAATTTCTTATTTAACAAAACCCCTATTAATTTAGCTCCCACAGACTGTCAAATAAACTGTCAAGCAGTTTATTTTCTGACGTTTATTAAAATTTCTATGTTTAAATATTTTTTTAAAATTCTTCTTTTTTTGTTCTTTTTAAGGTTTAGACGATTCACCTATACACTAGGCAACTATACTATTCAGAAATTATTAACACTATACCAGGTAAGTCAAAATTAATTTATTTAGCAATTTACTAATCTTTTCTCCCTTTTATTTCAGAGTCGACCCCACATTGTGAGGGGCTTCAATGAAATTCATGAACAACAAACTCATATAAAATCCCTTTAAGTTATATCACTCTTTGACATATTGAATCATTTCAATATATGATATATATATATATATATATATATATATATATATATATATATATATCTATCTATCTCCAATAAAATTCTTTTCGAGAAACCTAAGATATTCTTTTTTACAATTTCAGTTTAGTTCTAAAATGGAAGGTAGAAGTGAAAATTCAATTTTTTGCCTGAAGAGGCATTATTTGATACGGTTCATTTGTTTATGGACCGTTTTCTTTTTATGGTCTGTATCCTGTTACGCATTTTGGTGATGGGCACGACATTTGAGACTTTTATCTAAAATACGGAAATATTGAATAAAATGTTAAAGTTACACAACTTTCAAATAGTGATTCTTATACACTTACAGTAGAATAATTGTCGTTGCTCGTTATATACTAAATATTTACTATAACGTCTGTTGAATACTTGTTAAATTAATTAATATATTTTTTGTTCCTAACTAAAAGTTATTACTAAACTTAATTACAACTTTGACACAATCCTGGAAGCACTACAAGCATGCCGCATTGACTACCGATATACAAGGTTAACAAATTTGAAATTCGCAAACGACATAGTTTTGTTCTCAGACAACCTCAAGGAGATATGTACAATGCTACATAAACTTCAGTTAGTGTGTGCCAGTGTGGATCTGAGGTAGTGATTAAGGCAACAGGACCTGACGAAATACCTGTAGAGTACGGTTAATAGAAGAACAGCAAATTGGAATATTGGTCGACTTATTCAATACAATATACAGTACAGAAATCATTCAATATGCCCGTCTTATGCGAATTACTTGAAAAGAAAAATTAGATATAGAGAATCAGGATCATTCGCGCTATCTATTATAATCAGATCGCTGTGGTAAAAGAGAACAACGTCTTTTCAAATGAAATACAGATTGAGAGGGGCGTCAGGCAGGGCTGTGTTTTGTCTGCTACTTTGTTCAATTTGTATTCAGAGGAAATAATCCAGGAAGCACTAGAAGAATTAACTATGGGAATAGAAGTAAATGGCCGACCAATCAATAATATACAGTTTGCCGACGACACTATTTTAATAGCGGAATGTCTTGAGGTTTGGAACAAATGGTTTACAGAGTGGTAAAAGTCAGTAAAGTAAACGTACTATTCCTAAACACAAAAAAGACACAATCTATGGTAATTACAAAAGCCCAACAGCGCCAGAAACACAGAAAAATACATAGAGAACATACATGTGGAGAACCAATTAAAAAATATAAATATGTGGGTACAATAATTTACGAAAATAATGGGTACACCGACTAAGAAAGATTAAGGCAAGAATAGGACAGGCAAGAAAGTCTTTCAACAAACTGAAAAAAGTACTCTGCAGCAGGGACATTTCAATTTAATTTAAAGATAAGGACTTCTCAGATACTACGTGTTCTCCTTATTATTTTATGGGTTGGAGGCTTGGACATTAAAGAAATATATTTCGGACAGATTCGGAAGCCTTCGAGTATGCGCCTAACAGAAAGGATATTAACAATAAATTGGGTGGATAGAGTCACGAGATGTCGAGATGTTGAGAAGAATGGGAAAAGATAAAGAGATTTTAACTACAATTAAAGGTCAGGAAAACTGCAATATTTGGAACATGTCATGAGGGGACGAGCATTATAACTTGTTGCAAATTAATAATGCAAGAAAGAATACAGGGTAAAAGGAGTCCGCGTAAGAAGACGCATTTCCTGATTTCTAATAGAATATATGATGAAGAGCTTGGTTTTTAACTGCACTTCTGCTGACCTCTTGAGAGCAGCGGCGTCGAAGGTGCGAATTGCCATGATGGTGTGGCAACCTTTTTAGAGGAGATAACACATGATGAAAAAGAAGAAGTGTGGATTTTAAAATAAATATCTCCAAAACAAAATTGACGACAAACATAGCACCTAGCGGAAATATCAATATTGGATTAAAAACGAAGTAGAGCTGAAGAAAAATTACATGTATTTTGGACACGAAATAAAGATCACAAGAGACAACCAAACATGCAAACCACGAAGAAGAATAAATCTAGCGTGGGCAGCCTATGAAAAACTCAAAGAGATCTTTAAAAGCGATATACGAATTTCTTTAAAACGTAAAATATTTGACCACTGGTGTTGTCTGTGATAACCTATGGCATCCAAACTTTGACATTGACAGCTACAACTTCAAAAACGCTGCAAAAAAATTATAAAGACTATGTTTGTAAAAAATTTTAAGATCTACTTACACTACACATCTACTTAAACTTACCGTTTTCGAGATAAATCCAAAAACCTCAAATTTTGATTGACCTGAATATCTTTTATAGCACACATATGATGGGGATTTTTAAAACTTTAGTTGTAAACCTCAGCTCTACACACATATTTAGTTTTCCGAGCATATTTGTTATTTTACCACTATTTTTATATCCAAATTGACCGGATTAAAATGTATATTCGAAATACTTGATTACATATTCCACAGAAAGATAGATTCCATTTATCCTTATCGAGATATTCTACTTAAAAGTTTAAAGATTATAAAGCAGTTCTTTATAGAATTGCAATTCATTTAGTAGCTTTTTAGAAAAAATCCCAAAAATCAATTTTATATTTTGGAACGGGGCCAATTCTGCAACAATGATAGATTTGTCTTCAAATATTGGTAAAACATTGGAACTTTTCACCAATTTTCAAAAGATGGACCTACCTCTGGATCTAACCATTTTTCCATAGTAATCACCAGACTTATTCGACTCAAATGCACTCAAAATATTGCCGGTAAAATTTTCTTTCTTATGATGTCATATACGAAAAATTCCATATATATGCTATAATGAAATTAATGAAAGCGGATGAATGAGCTGAAATAATTCCGTATATACGCTATAGCTAAAGCATATACAGAGTGGCCCAAAAGTCTGGAAACGGCTAATTATCTCGTAAAATCCTAATCATAATTGTACAAAATTTGAGGTACACCTATTTTGGGATACGGAGATTCCATATTTGATATTTACAATGTTGCCAGATTTTCTGTTTTTCTTATATTATTAGTAACTTTGGTTTTTCAAATACATCACCCTATATATTCAGTCATTATTAGAATCTCCTATTCAATACGAGTTCAACCATATGTAACACTTATGATTTTATGTAATCTGGAAGGTCATAAATACATAAAACTGAAGTCTGGCAACGCCTAAATTGTTTCAATAAATTTTTTAATACTAACTATATTCAAATACATTAAAACGTAACAATTGATAGTTTAGAACATTTTTAACATATTAGTTACGTTATTAAGTGTTCAAAATGTGCTCAATTTGTGAGTTGACAGCACCCTAATCGATGGTAGAAGGCGTCTACCACATTTCTCCATGATTGTCCTAGAAATATTCGAGATTAATTGATAATTTGTTGCCTTAGCTGTGCAAGACTTGCTGGTTAAGTTTTGTAAACTAAATTTTTCAAGTATGCCTAATAAAAATAATCTTTAGGGTTAAAACCGGGTGAACGTGGAGGCCATTCAATTCTACCCTGTATACCAATTTATCGTCCAGGAAATATCTCATCTAAATATAGCCGAACATTTACACCAACTATCTGACGTTAATTTTTTCGACGAAAAATGGCCCAATTGAATAAGTAACTATTATATTTTATCTGACCATACATTTAATTTTTGTGGGATTTACGATTGGCTTACCCAAATTCCCGGGGAATTGGGAAATATTATTTTAAGCACAAATATGCACATATTTGTGCTAATAATCCGAATTATATTTATCACTTTTACCATTAAAAAATATTAGAGTCAATTAATACAGGTTTTACTAACATTTTTGATAGTTTTATTTATTTAAAATGAAATTGTTACAGTATATATTACGTTTCCACCAATTTTTTTAATAGATAGAAAAAATCCTGTTGGGTCAGTCCAGGCCTGAACAATTTCTTCCATATAACCTCAAAAACTATAAACCTATAGACCTATTTTACTCGTTAAAAATTGTTACAAATTTCATTAAAATACCTGTGGCACATGGTCATCCTCGTGTTGTTTTTAAACCTCAAATAATTTGAATTGCTATTGGGCGCGTGTATTTTATTTATTTAACTTACCCACTGTAGCTTCCTGTTTTGCTTTCGAATCGGACAAACAATGAATTGCCGGTGGATACAAAATCGTGCTTTTCCATCGCTTTTGAAAAAGTATCACAGAATGTTTTGATAATTTTTGCATCGTCGGGCCAAGAAGCGTCGTACAGCGTTAACGATTCACCGCAGTCTCCTTCGATGGGCTTTATTGGAGATTCTATTCGATTTATTCTAAAACTGTAACAAGAAATAGATTAATATATGCAAATAACGTACTAAAGGTGAACAGCTGGACTAATTAACGCCGGGGATATTAAACAATTTTGTTAAAAAACTTTTTAAAAACCTAAGTCACGAAAGTTATTTAGGTTATATTTATATTTAGAAAAATTAGTTAGTAGAACTTATGAGCGAAGTTAATTAAAGCAATATGAAAAGACCAAAAGAATTATTAAAACAAACTCAAAGCATATAATAAACTTATAAAAATATTACAAAAATATATACAGTGTGTAAAAGCCAAATGGAATAAATTCATTATTTAGGTTACTGTACATATTTATAAAAATCCCGAAACACGTCAAATTTAAATTATAAGTTGACATTCTTTAACGTGAAAATGCAACCCCTACCTTCAACCCCCTTAGAATGACAGGTACAACCCCCAATTTTTAAAATAGGAAGTATAGGCTTGTGCTATATCGTTTGAAAGGTCTTTTCATTCTCCATTCAAAATGTTGTCGCTTTCAAGTTTATTAAGATTAATTAGGAATAAATAAATTAAAATTATGTGGTTACCGAAATCTGCTAAAATGTACTCAAAACTTATTTCCCGTTTAGGTCTTGATAATGAGAAAGTGAACAAAAACCATAGCAATGTAGTTTTTAGATGGTAACCATTAAAAAACTTTCCGTGGGCAACGTTATTTTAACACGCATTAGTAAATTGTTTTATTTAAGTTGTCAGTATTTTAATTAAAAAGTTCGTTCAATTCAATTTTGAAAAATGGTTTAGATTAACGGAAATGCATAAAATAACAGTTTTACAAATGATTGGTTACGGAGATAACAACCGAATACAACAGGAAGTAACTCGCCTATTTCATGAGAAATTTCCTAATTTACCGCTTATATCCCAAAGAACAATAAGTAAAATAGAGAAGCAGTTTCGCGAGTTTGCTCATGTAAGGCAGACAAAAAAAAACAGCTGCCAATGCACTGAGTGATGAACTCAAATTAGATGTGTTGCTTGAGTTTCAGGAAAATCCACATATATCGAGTAAACAGGCATCCACTACATTCAATGCTAGCCATACATCGATAGTAAACATATTAAAAGAAAATAAATTGCATCCCTATAAGATGATACCTACTCAGGAGCTCATGGAAGACGATTTTGATAGGAGAACTTTTTTTTGTGAGCAAATGATGGACATGTTGGACAAACAATATTATCCAATTAGAAGACGTTATGTTTTCTGATGAGTGTACTTTTTCACTTAACGATCATGCTAATCGGCCAAATTACCACTACTGGGCCATGGAAAATCCTCACTGGATGAGAGAAAAACACACTCAATACCCTCAAAAGGTTAATGTTTGGGCAATGGGATTGTAGGAAACAATATCATTGGCCCCTTTTTCATTGAGGGCAACTTGAATGGCAACAATTATTTGGCACTACTTCAAAATGATGTCATTCCAACGTTGGCAAATTTATATCCTGATTAAGGAAACCTTGAAGTTCCAGCGAATACGATATGGTTTCAGCAGGATGAGCACCACTATATTACCAACTTAATGTACGACAATACCTCGATACAATATTTCCCAATCGGTGGCTAGGGAGGCGAGGATCGATTAAATGGCCAGCGCGATCAGCTGATCTTACATTATTAGATTTCTTTTTATGGGGATATGTGAAGGGCCATGTGTACAAAACTAAACCTTCTGATTTAAATGACTTAAAAGAACGAATAACGCTTGCTATTAGGTCGATCACGCTATTATGTTAAATAATGTTAGAAGACAGTTTTATTTGAGATTAGGATGTTGCCAAGAGTTCGCGGTGAACATTTTGAACATCTACTTCATTAACATTTATAGTTCTTTTTCTACATTTTATTACGTTTTGCATTACAGCTTAGTTTTTGATTGTATTCTAGCGAATTTCGGTAACCACATAATTTTAATTTATTTTATCTTAATTAATCTTATAAACTTGAATGAAAAAAGAAACACTTTTTGAATGAAGAATGAAAATAGTTTCAAACGATATATCACAAGCCTATACTTCCTATTTTAAAAATTGGAGGTTGTACCTGTCATTCTAAAGGGGTTGAAGGTAGGGGTTGCATTTTCACGTTAAAGAATGTCAAGTTATAATTTAAATTTGACATGTTTCACGATTTTTTATAAATATATACAGTAACCTAATTAATGAATTTATTTTATTTGGCTTTTACACACTGTATGTAGGTAGTCAAGTATGATAACGAAAGGAAGTCTGCAAAGTACTGAGCATTGAGATCAAATGACTGCTAACATAAACAAATATGTAAAAAACTAATTGTAGAGGTAGAGATAATTGTTCGAAAGAAATAAAGAGTCTTTATAACTTATTATTATTATATTACTATTATAGATAAAACAAAACACTAGTTTTTGCTAAAAATACCATATTAAAGAGGTAGAAAGAATATTGGGAAAAATGAGACTGAGACATTAGTTTTTTGTAAGAATCTAGTGATTGACATATGTTAATGACTAGTGTTTTATATGTGGCCAATAACTAACTATTATATTTTTCTTAGCAACTATTCCAAAACGATCTAAAACGTATCAATAACAAGTATTTCGAAAATGATGTTCAAAAAGCATTGGAGTTAACTCAAAATGATACGAGTGAGCGAGAAGCTTCAGTTTCAATATTCCCAGAGCTACCATAAGTTACCCGCAAAAGTGAAAAATTTCACTACAAAATAACACATGGACCAAATCCATTTCTTTCGAAGAATAAAGAGTAACAGCTTTTCGTGTTGACGACATTAATGACTTCGTGTTAAACATTTTCGGAGATTAATCTGGATAAAGCACAAACATTTGCCAACACTTATTAATCCAAATACAGCAATTTCTTATAAACAATATTTTGAAATAGTTGGCAATGACAAAATTAAACAGCTATGTCGAAATCATTGTAAAACTCAATCTGATGATTACCAAATATTGAAACAAATCTTATCAGCATTTGCAGAAAATTCGTCAGTAGAAATTTCTCTAAATCACGAACAAGAAAATGTTTTAGACGAAGAAGCAAAAGTTTTAGAAACAAGTGAAGTAATTTTCAAGATAAATAATATACCTGTAATAATAAATGATACTGAAATTTTAAACAAACCTAAAATCGAGAACGCAACCTTGATAGCACCCGAAAATGATGAAATTTTCAATATGCATGGAAAAGAAGACCATACAAATCAAGTTGAATCAAGTGTGACGAAAACTGTTAAAAAAGATCTATCCGAAACATATAAAAAATATAAAAAATCCGAAACAACACGAGGAGCGAAAAAAAAAAGAACAGAGAAAACTCGAAAGTAAGAAAAAACAAATTATGAAAGAAAATCAAAAGAAAATAAAAAGCTCGGATAATAAAAAATAGCTAAAATTTTAAATAAGTCTGAAGAGGGAAAATAGACAACGCAAATAAATGGCCTCAAAAAATATAAAAAAGGTGTAAAAGTTAATTTCCTATTGCAAAATATCAAGAAAAGTAAAAAAAGCATTAAAAATGTTAACACCTCTACACCAGAAAAGCAGAAGTAACAATATTGAGGTTTTTCAGCCTCTACTACCTGAGTTTGTTACATTTCTTACACCAGAATTTCATTCTCACACAAAATCATCAAGCCCTGTAAATAACCAAAATAATATTGATATTTTTAAGTATTCACCTACACCAGAAGCGAATTTAAGATTATCCCAAAAAAATTTCTCGCCCACACTAAATCTCCAAGCCCTGAGAAAAAATTTTACCAAAACGAAAATTATTTGATGATAAACAAAACAGTTCTCATCAAAACTTACAATTATGTTTGATAATTTATTATTTTAAAAATTGTTTTAAATATGTAGAGATTTTTTGACCATTAGAAATTTACCTACCTTGGAAAATACAGCCTTACAACTTCATCTTCTTCGCCTTGCATAAGATATGTACAACTCGTGTGAGGTGGATACCAATGAGCAACAGAAAGAAATATTCCTTCTGAATCTCCGGAAGCTCTCTAAGGCTTTCTGAAGATAGCAACCAGTCGCATGTGCCATTCCTACTTCCTGCGGTGTCTACATGACCAGGCCAATTACCAACATTAAAGTGGAAACCCGTGTTTAATAGAGGACCTGCAACATATTTATTCATGTTTACACAAACTAATTACAGTAGGTTTAATTAAGAAGTTATCTTTGATCTTTTTCTTCCTACAGCAACCAACTGCTACAATAAAATCGGTTTATCGAAACAGAAGTAATAAGGAATATTAAAGAATCGACAGAATACTTTAATATTCCTTTTTCCAGTAATAAGGAATATTAAAGAAGAATATTAAAGAAAAATAATTCTTATTCTAAGTTACCTAAAATTGTTTTCAATCAGAAAACTAGCGCACAAATGATACTGTTTAATATGCGTGACTTATTTTAAAATAGTTTCATTACACTGTAAGTTAACCTTGTAGATTTAGCTATTTTATTGACATATTTGATATAGTACCGAGTCGATGTGTAATATATAACGATGATATAAAATATTAAACAGACAAGCGATCGAGGCCTAGTTCAGTGAATTAATAATCGTAATTCATTCGTAGTCGGTAGTCGAAATTTATATTTATAGAATAAAATAGAGTAAAATAAAATAAAGAAAATTAAATTGAATAAAATGGAAAAAACATAATAAAATAGAGTATAATAGAATGGAATTCAATAAAATACAATACAATAAAATTAAAATGTATTAAATTCGAATAAAATGAAATAAAGTACAAACGGACACATATAGCTGCAACTTTCAAGGTCATTATATTTAGTATATATCAAGGAATGACTATTCAGTTGTCTGAAATTGAGCGACGAGTAGATATCCATTGAGCACCAGTTTTAGTCGGTTTGCAACGTTGCCAAATAACTTTGAAATTTTTTCGTAAACTTCCGTAATGTTTTCATATAAAAACTAAAAGGTGAAATAATTTTTTCAATTAAAATAAATAACGTAAGTGCCGTAAAAAATCGGATTCTGAGTGCACAAGCTCGTGAAATTATATACTCAGTAAATTGATGATATTTATATTATAAAAAATATGTTATTGTTTTGCAAACTTACAATTTTTTTGTTTATAAATCAAATATAAAAATAGGTGTTGTTATATTAAGATATGAAATAATCAACTAAGAGAAAAAAGTTTATATAATATACTAAATGTTTGTAGATGTCAGTTTATTAAGTCAAAAAAAATTGCTAAAGAGGGTCTTGAGGTTGAAAATGGAGAAACCCTTGGATCCTCCACACCTAATAAATGACAGAAAAAGTTATCAAAAATACAGCTAGATGCATGTGATCAAGGTACCTTATGGAGACAAATATATTATTTCCATTTTAGCGATCACAATTAAGAAAACTCATCAGAAATTTGTAAGAAAACTGAATTATGCAGAAAGTAGTATTTCATAAACTTCGCTGAAAAAAACAATCGAAAATAGAAAAACGTTGATAGAAAAACAAGAAATAAGACATTTAAGGCTGGAATACCTGAGGAACATTTAGGAAGTTAGATAAACAAATAAATTTATAGTGTTTACTGCCGAGACTATTTATTAACGAGACATATTCCCAAAAACAATTGGTGTGACACCAGTAATAATGAACTTGTGTCAAAAGAGCAACGTTTAATTATTTTGGGATAGGAAAGACAAAAGGTTTTGTTCCTGGATCTTACTTGAGGTGGAAGTCAACCTTAAAAAACAAGAGACTATCATGGTGACATGAACTTTATAAATTCTAAAAATGGCTGGAAGAACAACTTTTGAGTAACTTGCCTCCAAATAGTGTAATAGTTTTGGATAATGCACCATACCATAATACACAGGAAGATAAATGTCCCTCATCCTTATCTAGGAAGGTTTCGAGAAAAAAGATTATTGTGCCCAAGACTGAGATGTAGTGCATAAAAGTCCTTCCCCTTTTAAATTTAATGTTTGTTTTCGTCCCTTCTAAGTGTTTTCTGTTTTAGTGTGTTTTAAATTGTCCTTAATTGTTTTAATTCTAATATTTATTTACTTAACTTTGCAATAATCTACTATTTTGCCAATAGAACTTTATCAAAGAAATTTGATAATTACAAGTTGAAAAATAATTGCACACCCACACAATTTGTACATCTGAACTTATTCATTGTCATAAAATTGTCACCTTCATAAAACAATTACTCAATAAATAACACACATTTCATAAATATATCTCTCGAATAAGTTTAAATAACTTTTAAATAATACAATTGTATATAACGTCACTTTCATTTAACAAACAATCACACACATATCTCTGCTTCATTGGATCAAATCTATCTCCTCAAGAACTTCCCGTTTACTGTCAAACAACTACAATAGCAGAATTGAGTTCTCCATTCAACAATACATAGTAATTTCAACCATGTTCTACCATCCATTAATTAATAGAGTACCGGCATCATTTATTTAACTTTGTATCGAGACCTGAAGATGATTTGCATATTGTAGAAAGTGAAACCGGTCATCTGATAGTTAAATTAAATTGATTGTGAGTAAGTCTGATTTATTATTCTTTACCTATTTGAACTAGACTCACACAAGCAACACATTTATGATTTGAAAAAAGATTATATTTACTGCTTCTATGTTGAAGCCTGATCTCTATAACATAATCAGATTGCATAAACCTCGATATGCCCAAGCAGCATGATGTATTTAGACTCCTAGCATACCATCCTGATTTAAACCCTATTGAAATGGTTTGGGTAGCTTTGAAATCCTATGTGGGACAGAGAAATGTAGACTTTACATTTACGTCAATACAGCAGCTATCGGACGAATTGTTTTAAATATTTTCTGTGGAAGAATGGAAAAAATAACTGGAGCAGTCATCGCAACTGAACGTGAATTAATATCAAAAGAGGCAATAATTGATGTAGACGTAGATAATATGGTTATCAATGTAGACGAAGGTTCGGACAACGAAGATTTTCAATCAAATTATGACAGCGAAAACAATGATTTTGATGATATTTAAATAAAAACTGGTAAGTACATTTTCATAAGCTTTCACCACTACCATTGAAAACAATTTATTTTACCTTAATAGAATATTATTAGCTTTAATCTAATTTAATGGACTTTTTTCATTTTAAACAATTATGACGAATACTTCACCTAATAGCATATTTTATCAATTACCTCAAACATCTTCGATGGCAGTGCATTAATAATAAATATATTAGAAAACCATTACTAGAATTGTGGAGTATTAAATATTTTATAGTTAAAAAACAAACCTCTAAAATAATAATCGATTTGGCAACGCTGCCTAAATGACTCTATCACTTCTCCTGCTCGCGGTTTAGATAAATATGTTCTACTGTACAATGAAATAAAATAAAATAGAAAGAAATAGAATAAAATAGAATAAAATAGAGTAAAATAGAATAAAATAGAATAAAATAGAAAAAAAACAGAATACAATAAAATAAAAAAAAAAAAAAATAAAAAAAAAAATAAAATAAATAAAAATAGAAATAAAATAAATAAAATAAATAAAATAAAAAAATAGAATAAAATAAAATAAAATAAAATAAAAAAAAATAGAATAAAAAAAATAAAAAAAAAAAATAAAATAAAATAAAATAAAATAAAAAAAAAAAATAAAATAAAAAAAAAGAATAAAAAAGAATAAAATAAAAATAAATAAATAAAATAAAAAAAAATAAATAAAATAAATAAAAAAAAATAAAATAAATAAAAAAAATAAAAATAAATAAATAAATAAAAATAGAATAAAAGAAATCAAAATAAAATCAAAGAAAATATAATAAAATCAAATCTTAAATTCGATCCTTGGTGCTCCGGGAAAGACACAAAAAACATTACTAATTTTATTGTTATGGCAGGGATCTGATCGCAGTAGCCTTAGCGTTGGCTTTATGTGGGATATCTGCAAGTTTATTAGAAGGGGGACGAATCACACATTCAATTTTGCATGCCTAAAACCATCCAATTTATGGCGGCATGTAAAGACGCTCCAATTGACAAATCACATGAGCAAGCTGCAATTCTCTTTTTGCAATTGTGTTTTCAAAGCAGTTGTTACATAGCGGAAAATATATTGACACCTCGACCGGATTTATTTCATTACCCAGATATTTCTGTTACTTAACAAACTCGAAAGAGGAGCTTACTAAACTTTTTTACTACATTATTTAAATTTAAGGTGATACGAAGTTTGATGGGTTAGCTAGTGGTGCACAAATACGACATATCACAACATAATACATATTTATTACCCTCTTCAACAGTCGAAGATGTAGTTGTGTAAGAAATATTGCCAATCGATTAAGGAATTTAGATGGTGGCGATAAGAGATATATCCAATACCTTTTATTGTTATAATATATCCTACTATCAAGTTAAAATTTGGCAAGGAATATATTAATGAGATATGTCTCCATTCAGATAAAAATTGACTCGCCCGAGTGTTTTTTTTGTTTCTTTCATCAAAGACCAAAACCTTGTCTTAGTCAAAATAAAGTTTTCGATAGACCACCTGTACAAACCATTTATATTAATTCTAGACCATAGAAACCTGTTTTTTTCTGTCATGTTAATGAGTTTTTAGATTTTTTTTCGCCTAAAGCTTTGTTTAAATGATATTTTTACTGATTATTTAGTCATTTAAGAAAATGAAGTTCCTTTTTTTTATTTAAACGCAAAAGTTTTGCATAAAAAATAAGATTATTTATCTTATTTTTCCTACTTTACGATACCTTAGAGACGTTAATTAAAATTTTGCAAAATATTTAAGCTTTTCTATCTTGTGATACAAATCTTGTGGCAACGGTGAGCCAGCATAGGAATAAGGAGCTGTTAAGGGTCGCCATCTTACGCATTTCCTGGGTTTTATGAACTTACACAAAGGGTTTATACAGGCAAGTAGTTTAAATCTTGATAAATCGCTTTTGACATAAGACGACATTTTAATTAACCCCGTGGTTTAAGGTACTTACTGTATAATACAGGCAATATTTTACTAGATATTTAGCAATAAATAAACATTGTTTGTGCATCTAAGTTCAATATTTTGTAAATATTTCACAAGA